CCCTCCCACACCCACACCCCACACCCACACCCACACCCACACCCTCCCAGCCACACATGCATGCCCTGAAGAGTACGCCCGCTTCTTTTGTGGAAAAAATGTTTTGGAAGCAGAAGAGTATAAAATTGCATGTTTTTATTGATTACTCATTGTAGATGTTATCTTGCGTGTTGCTTGTTCCTTTTTCATCATGAAATCAAAATGTGGAAAAAGGTTGGTTTCTTCCAAGTGACGACTATGACGCATTTATTGCGGAAGTACAATCATAGTAAAAAATGTAGACGCAAATAACATAAGCAGGCACACAGAATATATTTTTTAACTGTCAAGAGCTGGTGGTAAGTACATAAGGTTTCATTATAATGGGTAATTAATAAAGGAGCCTAATTGGAATTTCATGATTGATCTGTGAAACAGACAATAATGTCGACTTTGTTTTGTCTCTTCACTTTTTGTATGTAATATTGATGAAGCACACAATGCATTCTTATAATTACTTTTTTTTCTAACATGACGAACATTTTATTTGCTGCATAGTAACTTCATGAATACAGAAAAGCTAATTTAATATCGTCCAATTTCATTTTTATTTTCTGATGTTTATTATATAGAAAAGTACTGTCGTGTTTATTTCAAATGACTGTCCAAATTGGTGATTCTCTAGATTGTAATTGTAAGTGCAGATTCGTAGGAGTAAACATGTCATGTCCCTGAATGCTGACTTGATGTTTGGGAAGAATGTTGCCAAACGTTTCTTGAAGTATATGAGTAGCCATGGAAGCATCCTAAGGTTCGGTCACGTTTGGGTTCGAGTATTTTTGCGCATTATTAACTGTTCTGAAAAATGGTCTTAAAGAAGTGTTGGAATATATGCGGTCGAAACTCGCACCCATTCACATACTTCCTCCCTTCCCAACAGGCCATGACATACATACCTATAGAAAGATCACTGACCCTGACAGATACCTTAGCAATGCACGTGTCACATTAGAAACTACAACAAATACCATAGCAACACCTCAAGCGTCACACGTTGTGACAGGTACCATAGCAACATCGACCTCTCTCCTCCAGTGGCCGTAATAGACACCTTAGCAACACACTTCCCCAAGGGGGAAAAAGTGGATTCCGTCTATCCGGGATACTGCGGGGATACACAGGATACGATGAGGATACAGAGGATATGATCCGGATACACAGGATACAAGGAGGATACACAGGAAATAATCTGGCATAAACAAGAAAATATAAAATATGCACGATCTATTCAATGAGAATATTGGCTAATCAATTCTAACAAATAAATGTTATCGACTACGAAGAGTTTGACATGTACTTCGTCACATATTTCGATATTGAGTATATCATTTGATGTTGTGTAATTATTTAAACTCAGAAAAATAACAATATTAATTAGTTAGTGTCTAACGAAACCCGCTATGGCTGAATCGTTAAGATGATTGACACATACCCATAAGGTACTGTGTTCAAACCTCGGCCTTATCAGTCCTAGAATGACCTTGGACAAGGCAATAACGGCTGCATTGTCTCGGATCACCCATCCGATAAAAAACTGACTACGCGTTGAAATAAACTAAAAAGCTCTTGTGGCTAGTATGTGGTTAGTCAGTATGTACTGGGAGCTTTAGTAATTAAGCGACGAAAACTCTGAGTCAGGCCGGCCTTCTGTCCAGAGCTACATTCAGTAATAGATTTAGAAAAAATATCGAGTTTTCGAAACAGTCTTCGGACAGTACCCTATACCACAAGGTGACCGAAAGGTGGAGTATTCTTCTGCTTCTTCTTCTTCTAGTGTCTAATGATTCTATCCATTGAGCGCTCTCTTAATAGGCGCAAAACCGTCGGCTGAGTCAAATGTTATAGCACAAAAAGCCGTAACTCCCGCTTATCGTCTTAAGTATATTCCACGCCATCATTTTCCATCAAGAAGAAAACGTGGATCATGGTATTCTTGGTATCCTTTTCATTTCCTTCGTATTTCTATCATATTCTCTGTAATCCATTATATCCTTCGTATTTTCATTGTACCCTACGTATCCCCGTTGTATTCTCCGTATTCCCATCGTACCCTCTGTATCTTCGCCATATCACTCGTATCCCCATTGCATCCTCCGTATCCCCGCAGTATCCTAATCGTATTCCGGATATGAAGGATCCTCGTATCCGGGATATGATCAGGATACTGCGGGGATATGGAGGATACGACGGGGATATAGAGGACACGATGGGGATGCAGAGGATACGACCGGGATAGGGAGGATACCGGGATACCACAATCCGCTTTTTCCCCCTTGCACTTCCCGCAATGTTACAGATTGTGATACATTCTAATGATATATGATTAAAGACCATATTTCAATAATATTTCGGTACAATATATGAGCTATTTCTTTATTTCATTGCTGAAAGATAAACTAAAAAAGTGATGAAGTTAGATGTGTAAGCCGAAGGTCAAACATCGACGTCAGCGCCCACTAGACTTTATGTTTTTTTACACCGACGGCGGCTGCTATACTTTATGTTTTTCTGCACTAGCGGAGGCTTTGACAGCAAAAAGAGAAAAACCATTTGCTCTTAAAAGACGAAAAAAATGATCGATCGCATGTGTATCGATGTCAATGGTGGCGGCGCCTTATACTATTATCAAAAATTTTTGTTCGTGGCAGCGGTGAAGCGGCTGAACTTACGTTTTCACAGCGGCGACTTCTAAAAAAATTTTTAAACTATCTATGATTCCATGGCGGCAGTAGCTCAGTGGTACGGCTTCCATCTCTAGATGAAGTGATATGCTGGCAAATAAATAGAACAATCTTCTGGTGATTAGGAAGAACAGATACCTCGTGTTTCACACTTTCATTCCAGAGAGATTACGCTAACAGGTTTTTTAAAAAATCTCTGTAGAATTTCGTTTTTCGGATCATTTATTCTACTGGATCTATCCTAGCTAAGCCTGAAATTCTTTCTTTTGGCTTACTTCGATTTCCTGTTATCAATTTGCTAAAAATGATAACATTGAACAAAGGTGTGGGTGTGGGTGCGAGTGGGCTTGAGCGTGGGTATGGGTGTAGATACATTCTTTATTCACACCAGGGTTGCCAGATGAAAATTTTAAAAATCAGAATTTTTTTTTTCAAATTCAGAAAACGATCAGAAAATATTTTTGGAAAATCAGAAATTAATCAGAAAGGTAGTTTTTTGCAAACCACTTGGTATCATGTCAAGATACTAGCATAGAATATTCTGGTGGGTTCCTGCTTATCGACTTTTAGTTTATTTCTCAAAAATGTTTCACTATAAAGAAAGAAAATACAATGAATATATCGTTTGATTAAGGGGGGTCCCCTCAAAAAAGCCAATTTTTCGAAGATTAGTCGAACTTGAAGTTTTATCATAGAAAGATCTACTGAAGTCTCCTCTTTCAGAATATCTATGTTTTATCGAAAAATGAATTGATTTTGACGAACTTACCGTCTAAAACTTTGCTCCTAATATCATATTTTTTGAGAAATTTTAACGGCTTTTTTTTCTAGCTTTTTCGACTTTTTAGGCTGCTTTCTCTGTGCATCAGCATTTCATAAAGTTTTCTTTAATACTAATCACTAAGAGACTATCCACACTTAATATTAAAATCACATATTTATAGCCTGTCTTGAACATTGATATATAAATCAGGTAATTTTCGGAAAAATTGAGTTCTAATACTTATTTTCCATTTTTCTCAAAAAACTATTTTTTCGAGAATACTGTTACGCATTCGAGGATTTTTAATAACGACTCAACAGATAAGAGTTAATGTGTTTTGTTGAATAGAGGACAGTTACGGCTTGGTCGTAATAGAGCCCAATTTTTGAATTTCTCTTTTGGTGAAATAAAAAACTTAGTTATTTCATTTTTGTTAGCAATTGTTTGGGCACAATTTCGTGAATTTTACGAAAAAGCTTCTTTGAAAATCAAAAAAAGGGAGGGTGGGTGTGGGTGTTCTCTAGATATCTATCATCTCTTTATCCACACCCACACCTACACCCTTAAACGCGTAAAGAATAATGAATTGACTAGAACTTGTGCATTTCTTTGAGGTTTGAGAGAGATATTTTAACCATAAGCTATTCTTGTCAGGACTAACATTCTCTGAAATTTTGGTTGAAATCGGATGAAAAATAACAAAGTTTGTTTGTGAGGGGATCCTTAATACAACAAATATAATAAAAGATGTTTAGTGTGTAACAGAAAGTTTATTGCTTATTCGTGTAATCCACAATAAGGCTATAAGGAAAAGCGAAAATAAGAATTTATTATAAGCTTCAGTTCACAT